TGTGTATTCATGTATCACAAAAAAAATTTGAGGGTTTTCCTACGGGAAATATATGAAATTTTGGCTGATGTGCTTGTCCATGTAAAATTGACAACTGAAGATGTGGAAACCTGAGTGTTTCTCTCACGTTGTTTAGTATACTCAGTTGTGTTAAAACTGGTTTCTGTGCTGTAGGTTGCATTGTCAAGAAAGTGGGGAAGAAAGCTCAGAGACGGAATCTGTTTATTCTCTAAAATGTCATATATCACACGAGGTGAACCACTTGCATGAAGGATTAAAACATGTGAGTATCCACTATAGACTTTGTTTCTGATTTTTATTTCTGCATGTCTCTCTGTTATATTGCGTACATAGAAAAACTAGGACAACGTTTGCTTGATATGCTGCTCTTATTACAATATCTTGTATTTGTTTGATGAACATCCCCAATTCTTCTCGTTTACTGCAGGGACTGAAAGGGGAACTTGAAAAAAATTCTCCTGCTCTGGGCCGTACTGCGCTTTACCTGAAGGAGTCCCTTATAGATTCCTTGCCAAGGTGATCAGTCTGTGCTTATTGTTTGCGACATTTACTGCACATCGCAGTTCTTGTGGCATGCTTCATGTCCAGCATGTACCAAAGAATCAACTTCGTCAAATTCCTAACTTGCTGTAACTTCTAATCCAATTTTTCTCTGGCTCTGACACGAAGTTTCTTTATCTTCTTACTGATCTTGAAGGTACTTGACCGTTCAATTTGTGCGATTCTTCTGGAAAAGGGAGACTAATCAGAAAGCAAAGATCCTCAGGGTACGTATGCTTTCTGTTTTTTTTTTATTAAATAATAATCCAACCACCGGATGCTCAAACCTGTTATGGTAACGTCTCCAACTTTTGATCTTTGAAGAAAGTGGATTATCCACTGGAGTTGGATATTTATGACCTTTGTTCTGAGGATCTTCGGAAGAAACTGGAAGCCCCTCGCCAGGTTTGTACTGTCTATATGTAGTGAGCTCAATTTAACTGAATCTGGTTAGCCATATCAACTGACAGCGCTGTGTGTTTCAGAAACTTAGAGATGAGGAAGGCAAAAAGCTTGGTCTGCAAACTAGTGCAAAGAGTAGCAGCTCAAAGGACGGCGATGTGAAAATGACTGATGCAGAGGTACCATATCTATCTATTGTACGTATAAATTATCTGTTCAAGTATAATTTTCTAAGAAGAGTTTTGCTCTGTATTTGTTTTCAGGCGCCATCAAATGGAAGTGGAGAATCATCCACCGTAACCCCACAGGAAGGTACTGAATCTAAGACCCACTTTCAACATCTTTCAGGTCTGTCTAGTTCAGAAAGAGACATAATTCGGTTGGATATCTTTGAAATAAAATAAAAAAATTGAGATATGAACAACTGAGAAAAAGAGCTTCAATCAGTCGTGGTTAAAAAACTCAAGAAGCTTGATATTTGATGTAATAGTTGGATGATTGTTTGTCAATGTTCTCATTTCCAAGCAATCTTTCTAATACTGTTTTGTAATAGGTGCTTCTTCTGAGAAGGAAACACACATGACAGGAATCTATGACCTGGTCTCTGTGCTGACCCACAAGGGAAGGAGTGCAGACTCTGGCCATTATGTTGCATGGGTCAAGCAAGAGAATGGTTAGTTCCTTTCTCCAATAACTCTCTCTCTCTCTCAGACACACACACATCTCTCTTATCATTTACAATAATTCATATTTTTACAGGTAAATGGATTCAATATGATGATGACCACCCGAGCCTGCAGAGGGAGGAAGACATCACAAAGCTATCCGGAGGAGGTAAACTCGATTAGCTTTTAATCCTCTTCCTTTTTTTACTCGCATAGTGTGTTTCTCGCTCTTTGTTTAATCCTTTTCAATTTTCTTTCTGTGATTCACAGGTGATTGGCATATGGCGTACATCATAATGTACAAAGCCCGCTTCGTCTCCATGTAGTCTCTCTCTCTCTCTCTCTCTCTCTCTCTCTCTTTTGTGGAATTTAGTTCTTGAAACATTCAGATCTTTAAAAAATTATTATAGACCAGCTTCAGAAATTTCAGTTTTACAATGTTAGAGACTGGATTTTGTCATTATGCTATTTAGACCGAGAATTGTTTCATCTTATGACTCTTTTTATGCAATGTCACAAGAGATTTTCAAAGCTCCCAAATTTTTCAAAATAACATCTTTCTAATTTCTCATTTACCTAATTAATAAGACTACTTCACACTCATGCACTGTCATTGTAATTCTGGAATCAGAATGACCAAAGGATCCCTCAACATGTCGTGTGGTGGTCCATAAGATCAAACCCATCAGGAATATAAATAGAATGGCCCATCAAAGAGAGGAGTCATTGGGATAGCTTTTACAAATATGCATTGTCAAAATCAAACTAAGCCCCAACGTATTTGACAACAACAACTCATCAGTCATCATTTTACCCAAATTGAAATAGCCCAAGAAGTCGACTATATTTATTTTCTTAAGAGTTAAGACTTATCCATTCACTTGGACCACTGTTTAATTTCTTTTGATTTTTCTTTCAATATTTACTTGCTTGTAGTTCACATAACATGAGTAATCATGATTCATGACTATAGATAGATTTGTGATCCCAGAATGCAAACACGGTGACTTTTTTTCCAAGGAACATAAAATTGTGTCAACTCTCATTTCAATAATAAATATAGTTCCAATAGAAAAATTAGATAATTAAGCAAGTATAATTGGTTCATTCCTATTAAATTCTACTAAAAATATCATCATATATATATATATATATATCATTCAGTCACTAGAGCCAATACCGAGAAAGAAGGAAAAATGTTGACGAGAAAGTGAAATAAAAGATTATATCACTAAATGGACCGACATCATTTGTCATATTGGCTACGCGATGACTAAAAAAAGACATATACCGAATTTACCAGATTACCCTTATCATTCTTCAATTCTTCTCCACTCTATTCATAGCTAGATCAGTCCACGCGTCATCACTCCTCCGATAACCCGAATCCGAACCCAAACCCAAACCCGTACCCGGAAACCAACGCGGCCCGGTTTCGTAATGAATCCCTCCCATCTGCATATTCGACGCCAACAGCGAGCTGAAACTCCCACTATTCGGATCTCCAACCGGTAACCCGTAAAACATCCGGGTCGGTTCCATTTCCTGACCCGATTTCTCTTCTTCTCCCTCTAATTTCGATCGGGATTCCGAGCTGGGTTTCTGATCGGAAACAGCGACGGTTTTATTCTTGAGATTGCTCGAAGAAGAAGAAGACGATCCTCCGGATCGTTTACTGTTCTTGCGAGATCCGCCGCCGACGGGGATGTTACGGAGGGAACCGCCTCTGGTCCAGTAACGACGGCAGTTTTTGCAAAAGTGACGGGGCTGTGACAGATTGTAATTGTTGTAGTAACAGAATTTGGTGTTGGGTGAGTCACAGCGAGGGCACTTTAGCTGCTCTTGCTCCGGTAACTCCGGTTGTTGTTGCTGCTGCTTCGCCGTCATCATCATCGACTGGTGGTAATAAGCTGCTGCTGACGTCGGATCCTGCATTTTTTTTTTTGACCCGGAAGAGAAAACAAAACGAAGACGAAAGTTCTGTTACTGTAAAGTTTTTCTTTTTGAATCAGAAAAAAAAAAACAAAAGTGAAGTCTTTCTTGGAAGTAGAAATCTTTTTTTTTTTTCCTTTTCGGAAGAACAGATGTATTTTGTTATTGTTTGTTTACGTGAAATCTAATTTGTGCAGAGCTTTTTAAAAGAGAAAGATGGAATCTTTTTGGTGGTGGTGGTGGCAAATTGCGAATTATGAATGGGGAAGAGAGATAAAGAGTGGAGATATTTGGTGGGTTTATAGTGAGAGAGAGAGAAAGAGATGTTTTTAATTTGTATCACAAAATGACAAAACTTTAACACTTCATAGATTTTTTTTTATGTGCTGTTTGAGTTCTAGAGAAAGAGTTTGTGTTCCAATTTCTTATTGACTTTAGTTCTTTATTCTATTTTGTAAGTTAGTTTCGTGATTGGAGAATTTTCAACTAAAATCCAAACTAATTCCTCAACTTTTTTAAAAAAGATAAGATAAAAAAAAAATGTAACATTTATGTAAAAAGTTTATTAAGAGGCAGCGAACTTTCTAAGAATTTTCCTACAAGGTGCTTTCGTTGACAAACTTTCTACGCGTTGAACTTCATCATTGACTTGTTGACTTAACTGAATACTTGATGTCATTTTGTCGGGATTTCATTTTTTTACAAAATAAAAATACTGAAACCATTTTCTTTCGTTACTTTAAATGTGAATAGCTGAACCAGAAACGAATATGCATAAACGAAGAAGAGTTTGAAAATGCCGACACCATATTTATTTAAGAACAAAAAAATACGGATAAGTGTTATATGCGTTTCACACATCTATAAACTCGGTAGCTATGATGCTTTGTGACCCACTAAGGCTTCAGAATAAGCAGACAAGAAGAAGAAGAAAAAAGCAGATAGCGTGCTTAACAAGGAAAGTTTTATTTACTTTGGATCAGGGAAAAAAAAGAAGGCATCATTAGACTTGGAACCCTACCCTTAGAACATCGAATCACCACCGTCACTTTCCATCGTGATACACTGAACCAGAGCCGCACAAGTGTCGAAACCAGTTTGTGATGATCTTTGTCCTCACGTTAAGCTGCCGTTATCGCTGACCGTTTGTGTTCTGTTCCTGACGTCACTTCTACGGCTATGATTTTGTGGCTCTCTAAGACAACAAAATGGATGGCTCAAATTGAGTCTTGACCACAAAGACAAATGTTGAGATTTGGAATGTGAATGTGCTTCTTCGATTGGGTTTTGGAGTCGGCCGTTCTGAATTTCTTATGAAATACTACTTCTTATTTGTTTCGGACAACTTTAATTTTATTTTATTTTTTTGGTCAATACTTTAATCTATTATAATGTGAAACTGATAACTGAATTACCCGTTTGGATATTTAAGATTTAAAATTACTTAAAAAAATTATAAAAGAAGAAAAGAATATTGGTAAACAGAATGGTATTATTTTAACAAGTCAAGAAAGAAGAAACAAGTTTTAACAAAAAGAATCAATAAAACAATGATTACAGAAGACTAGAAAAGATTGTAAAAATCTAATCTAACATCCAATCCAAAAGTCTTATAAGATTAGCTTTACTAAAATCACGATTTCTTCCAATCGGATTTTCTTCTTTTCTCTCTTTCTTGGCCTGTAAAATAGTTTCCAGATGCACAAAGTAAAATTCTACACTTCAAAATAGAAAATGGTTGGTTTCTCACTGCTTGCCTTCTCCAAGTCCAACATGATGATTACAGAGCTTATGTGATCGATGATGATGATGACGATGACCGATGATGATGATGATGATGATGACTGAGAAAAAAACAGTCTCTCCAGCAAGGTTAAGCATAGTACATGTACAAGCTATTTGCAGCGGCGCAAGCAATTGCGTTCTCGCTTGGATGCCAAGCAAGATGCAGCAGCTTTGTCGAGTAATCAAGAGAATTGCTATATCCATCGACTCCGGTACTCTCTGATCCTGTTTTTTTACCATTTCAGCAGTTACTAATTTTGCCAATTTCTAAAAAAGGGTATATATGCAAGCTTAAATGAGAAAAGTGCGAGAGGAAGACTAACCTCTACTTACAGCACGCGTTACACTGCTTAGAACTCTGGATGGCCTCGAAGGAATTGGGACATGTCTCCTATGATAAACCACAATCACAAAGTCCATTAAATCAAACACTGAGAAGAAAGCAGAAGATCAAGCACACTAACTCTTGATGGATCTACTAAGTTTACCTCGTTGGGGTTCTGCTTGCTTCTAAGGTTGCACTCTCAGTACTTCCCGGGGTAACGCCAAACACACGGAACAGATTGCTGGACAGAAAGCGAAGGAATGGTTATACAAAGAAAATGCGAATAACAAAAGAAAAGATGCTCTGCATTTCGGTGCATACCTGTAAGAACCTGTAGCTGCTCGCGTTGCATTGCCACTTATACAACACTCAAACTTGTCGAAGATGGAATCGTTTTCATACAAATCACAGAGCTGAAAAATGGCCACATGAAAGGGATTACCAATCAGCTATGCACAAATTCGTCAAATGCAGCTCTCTCAATTAAAAAGTATAGGAAACTGACCTTTGGTTTCAAATGTTCATGAACCTGGAAAGTTGCTACTGGACCTGAGTCCATGTTGATGTCCCATAACTGATATGCAAAAAAAAAAAAAAAAAAAAAAAAAACAGAACCATGAGTTCAGTTTGACGAATTCGAAACCAGCCACTTATAGCATCGAGGGCAATATCATATCTAATGCCAATAGAAACGGTGAAAGTATGGACCTTAAGCGACATGTAATCACGGCTTAGTAGATATCTTCCTTCTCTTGCAAATTTGATGTCTGAGACTGAAGCGATTATCTCTGTGAAGAACGATTTAGGACCTGCTGTCTCTGGTTCCTCAAACCTGCAGAAACAGCAATGTTAGCTCTTGTGTTGATAATTCTACAAGTTATTACCGGATGATACAGAGACTTAACAGAGTTTCCACTCTCAAGACTTACAATTTGGAATGTGAATCACACAAAGCTGATTGGCGCAGATCAATCAGGCGAATTGAGCCTTTCGAACTGCTATAAGCTAACATATTGCAATAGGTAGGATGAAATTCCGCTGCTGTGATAACCTCTGCAACAACGAATGCGGTAATAGTTAAGCAGGATATATGCAGGGAGCATATTAGACTGAAAGAACAGTAAACCACAGCTTACCAGACAGATCTTCCATTTTCGAAGGCTTGACATCAACAATGTTGAAACTTTGATCGCTAACCTCCAGATTCCAAAGATTTATTCGCAAATCATCAGCAGAGATAAACGTTTCGCCATCACTGATTTTAAGAGGAGAAAGTATTAGCAAGAAGGAAGCAAGCAAGTAGGATTCCAAATGGGTAAATCAGCCTACCTATTAGTTGAGATTGAATTGATATGATAATCATGAGCATGAGAATACACTCTTCGACATTTAGCAACAGGGCTCAACTCATGGCTAGTCACCTGTATACGTCAAATGAACCAATTAGTTTACAAATGAACAACATTAATTGAGAATCAGAGGCCACAAACAATAAAGAAAACAAATTGTTCAGAGGACAACTACCACAGGTAACCGCAGCGATGAGATGCCTCCTGGTGGAGGTGCTCCTCCGTTCAAAAGGCATGGGCTTGCAATGGTTCCATTTTCTCTAGTTCTTGAAGGATCTGGATTTATATCACAGATTTTCTTGATCTTCCTGTCTTGAATCTGTTAAAAAAAAACCCACCACTACATACTCATCTCAACAGGTTATTGATAAGAAAAAGTTCGAAAGAGAAACTCTTTACAACAATAAGGATGTAGAACCATCTAGGATACAATGAGCAACCCAGCGAATAATGCGAAATGCCCAGAGAGTTCATATTCCAACATTCTCAAGATTGGCCATAAAAGTATCAGCTTTATCGTCGTACAATGTACACTAAACCCTAAGTATCCAGAATCAAACACAAAGCTCCCAGCAAAACAAAACAGAGGAAATTCTCACCTTCCAATACTTGATGGTTTTATCATTCGTCGATAGGAGAAAGAGAGCGCCGTTAGCTCTTTGAGACCACCTAATTTTGTTTATCTTCTCCTCTATCTCCAAGCTCTTGAGATAATCAAACTGGTAGGCAAAGGATCAAGCATGAGAAGACGGAAAAAAAAAAAAAGTGTATGCGCACATATTTGCGAGAAGTAAAACAGAGTAAACCAAATACCTCAGGGTCATGACTCTGAAACTCTGTTTTATAACGAAATTCCGGGTGACTCAGTGGATAATCTGTCTCCTCAAGATCCCTTCTCGCTCCACTGCCCTGTAATTCGATAGCATGCAACAACATATAACCAAATGTCAAATGTTTCAAGAAATCGCTTGCTAATGCAAAAGCTGGACATTACATTTTTGGCGTCGGTTCTCTCGAACAGAACAACCCGTCCACCGCGGTCTCCGGTGGCAAGGTGATCGCCGGAATGATCAAATTCGATAGCTGAAATTACATCAACTGCAGAGGAAACACCAGCTACACGGTTTTGAGAAATTCCAACTACAATACACAACAACACCCTCTCATAACAGTGAAGATAAAAAAACAAAATGGAATCGAATAACAAGCGAAACAGAGTCCCAATAAGCATAACGAGGCCAAAAACCAAAACTTTCTAATGACACAAAACGTAATCAATCGAACAATCCAATAGATCTATCTCGAGATTAAAACCCCTAATTCGAATTAGACAGATTCGATCGAATCGTAAGCTGAATCGGATGTAATCCAAGTCAAACCGATGACTAACCTTCGTGAACTTCTTCACCGGCGCTTCGTTCACCAAAGACCTGAGAGAATCTCCATTCTAGAGGCAGAGAAGGGTCTGCCGGAGCTGCGACGACATCATCATCACCGTTCATTCCCTCTCTGTCTCTCTCCAATTCACACACACACGCACGCACAGTCTCCGTCGGGTATAGAAACTAATGGGTGATCCGACGATCAGGAAACAGCCGGATCAGGACCGCGCGAAATCAGAGGTTTTCCGATTTCGAGTGAAACTGAGTGAGCTCGCCGATTGGTTTCTTCACGGATGCAGCAAATCGATCAATGGAGAGAATCAGATGATTCCCAGATTTCGACAAACAAATGAAATCACAAACACAGTCCTTTCTCTTTCTCTCTCTCAACACTTAATATAAAAAAATGTAAACAGTGGTTTTTTTTTTTTTCAAAGGTAATTTTTTGATTTTTATCTTGTTTTTCCATTGCACTTCTTCTATATACATTGTAAGAATTTAACATTTAATGCAGGGAAATCAAGTTTATTTTCAAAATTCACATTTACTTACAAAATTTCTCTTCTCATAGCTGTAAATTGCTAATCATATGTACATTGGAGGAGGTGAGTTTTCTATAAAAATATACCATTTCCTATAATAATATACCACGTCAGGCGTTACCACTAGAAAAATTGACACGAGTAATTATACATTTAGAAGGAGATCTAGAATATATCATATCATACGTTACGACAAATTATATATATATAGAATGAGATCTATGACAATATCATGTTAGATGTTATCACTGATAAGATTGCCACGGCTAATCATATACATAGAAAGAGATGAGCCCCTCTCCAACGATATATCGTAATATACATTGTCATTAGAAAGATTGACACGTGATTAGCTAAAAAAAAAAAATTATCTTCAATTTATGTAAGTATCTTCGAATCGATTTTACAAAAACCTTTTCATATTTTTGTGATTTATGAAAAGTTTATGGATTATGAAAAGGCCCATAATCCCTTACAAACATAAAACTAGATTTTATAATATAGTTTCGTCCTAAGCATCATTCAATTTTACAAAAACCTTTTCATATTTTTGTGATTTATGAAAAATTTATGAATTATGAAAAGGTTATGGGTTAAAGCCCATAATCCCTTACAAACATAAAATCAGATTATATAATATAGTTTCGTCCTAAATATCATTCAATTTTGTACATTTGATACTTTTTTCATCCAAAATGTCACTTAATTCTTTAATAGTGTTCAAACCATTTCATCTTCATCAACTAGACGTTTTCAAACAAAAATAAAAAATGTCAGTGGTTTTTTTATGTTTCTATTCATTTCATTTTCTCTATAAATAAGAATAGAAGAATACGAAATCAGAGGAAGAGGTTGCATTTAAGCAATTTGTAAGTTATATTAGGTAAGGTTTCTTGAATTACATTTTCTTTCGATGCTAAATTTGATTTTTTTTCAACAATTGTTTTTAAACGATTATATCTTTAACCATTTTAATTTGATTTAGGTTCCAAATCTTCTTATGCATGCCATGGATTTATAAAGATAAACCAAGGCATAATCACTTGACGATTTAGCCATCCCTTCAATTGATTATCTTGTCACTGTAGTTATATCCTAAATTGATTGTAGACTTGTAGTCGTTTCATGAAATGAGGTCATTTACCTTAAAAAAGACATAATTTACAAATGTAAGAAGTATATGGACGTCTTCATCAATCTCACGATTCTTAAATGAAAGTGTCTATCATATCAATTCTTAAGGTAGTGTATGAATTTCTTTATCTACTAAGTTCAATTTTTTTTTTTTTGAGAAAACTAAGTTCACATTTTCAAAAAAAGAAAATGATGCATTTGCTTTATTGGTAGCCATTAACAACAAATTTTAAACATTTGAGTTTAGATAGTTACTGCTTGTATAATAAGTCTTCTAAATACTAGCAAAAATCTGACAATATATGAAAAACGAGATGTATACTTTGACACTTGAGTGTTTCAAGTGTTAAGATGAGGGTGAAATGTAAAAGTTTTATATGATAAACAAATTTACACTTCCTTTGTATCAAAATATAAATGTTTACGATAAAAATACAAAGATTAAGAATTTTTTTATTTAAAAACATCATTAACTAGTTACAAACATAATTCAACCAAACATAAAAAAAAAAATATTACAGAATTTGAAAAGTTAAAGTACCAAATGAAGCAGGACTTATATCATATCAACTCTTAAGGTAATGTATGAATTTCTTTATCTCCTAAGCTCAATTTTTTTTAGTTTTTTAAAGAAAACTAAGTTCAAATTTTTAAAAAAGAAAATGATGCATTTGCTTTATTGGTAGCCATTAACACCAAATTTTAAACATTTGAGTTTAGATGGTTACTGCTTGTATAATAAGTCTTCTAAATACTAGCAAAAATCCGACAATATATGAAAAACGAGATGAATACTTTGACACTTCAGGGTTTCAAGTGTTAAGATGTGGGTGAAATGTAAAGGTTTTATATGATAAACAAATTTATACTTCCTTTGTATCAAAATATAAAATGTTTAAGGTAAAAATACAAAGATTAAGAATTTTTTATTTATTTAATAACTAGTTACAAACATAATTCAAACAAACATAAAAAAATACTTCCTCCATTTCAAAATAAGTGTCGTTTTAGAGTTTTATTTTTGTTTCATAAAGAATGTCGTTTTGTATTTCCAATACAATTTTTTTAACAAAAATCATGTTTTAACCCTGTTATATTAATGTATTAATTAGAAAGAGAATGTTATTTTGTGTGTGAATAAAAGGTAAAACAGAACTTTTAATGCTTTTCTTAATTTGTTTGAAAAGTGTCAAAATGATACTTATTTTGAAACAGAGGGAGTATTACAGAATTTGAAAAGTTAAAAGTACCAAATGATATTAAATTTTGCATAAAACCTTATATAACGTCACATAAGTTGAAACAATATTTTTTTTCTTAAAAAAATAAATGGGACAGAAGTAATACTACTTGTTGAAGATGAGAGAACATTGATTAGACAAAAGTATTAAACCTTAAAGAGTAGTGTTAATAAAGGTAACATTAAAGAGTATTAAAGGTTTAATACTTGACTGTGTAGAAAGTATTAAACAAACTTATACAAGTATTAAAGAAACTTAAATACTTGTTTGTTTATATTTGTATCAAACCTTTATACAAATATTAAACCTGTATACAAGCATTAATACGCAGTACAAGTATGCAACATTAAAGAGTATTAAGCCTTTATTTAATACTTATATAAGTTTGTTATATTTCTACGCAGTCAATTCTGCCTAATCAAACCTTTATTTAATCATATAAAATCTTGTCTGTCTCAATATTCGTACAGCTTAACTTATACTCGTACAGTTCTACATACTTGTATATAAGCTCTCAAATGTACAATTTCATCATTAGTTATTCAATATTACAATTTATTTGTTTTTCTTTCTTTCTTTTTCTCAATAAACTTTTATATAATACCAAAATAAAAAAATTTATTTTTTGCTATTTTTCTTCTTTCTTTGATTTTAACTTCGTAAGTTTAAAAATCAATTATATTTTTATAATTTTTACAATGTAACATGTTTAATTTCTAAATATAAAGTTTTTTTTAAAATTAAAAAATCAGTTAATTTGCAACCTTTTTCTTTAACATTATGATAATTCAAAAAACAAGATCACAAAATAAAATTCAAACTTTATATAATAAGATGTACCAATAAAATAAAAAATAATATACTTTTGCTTTTATGTTAACAGTGTTGAAGAGTATTGCATATAAAGTTTTTTTGCATTTTTTTGTCTTGGATAAAAAAATTGTTCTTCACAATATGCATCGGTCTCTCTATCCATTTACATTAGTGAACAAAAATCTCTTCACATGAATCGACAGTATATTTTAACATTTGTTGGAATATTTATTAAAATAAATATAATCATAAACTCATATTGATTAGCTGTAAAATCGTCATTTTGGATAATTCCAAAAATTTGCACTTTTCTGTGAATTTAGAGCGACAACGAAAGGGAAGCCGCCGGATTTTGAATATCATAAATTATGTGACGGCCGAGCCATAATAAATCGAAATTTAAAACAACGAGTAAGATCACTAGAATCTCAATCATGATATGATTGATCAGTTTCAATTTTGAAGCTAAAAGATGCAGCCATCATAGATAGATAGTGTATACGCTCTGACTGTCTCTACCGGTGAGCATACTTACGTTCTTTTTCAGAGTCTATGGGCTCCATCCCTGTCTAATGGTTGATGCGTTAGTCAGAAGGCTCGAAAGTTATAATATACTGACTGAGTAATCACCACATAATCTTTCTTTGTGTTTTGTCCTTACTCACAGGATTTTAAAAATCATTTTTTGGAAGGTCATTCATCTTAATCTTACTCCATTTGAAGCATGCTTAACTCTAAAATTTTCTCGAGACGAATGATCGAAAAGATAAATAAACTTTGTGATATAGTAGCCAAATTAATTCTTTTAAACCTCTACACATATACATTTATATTTCTGAAATCAGATGTTATAGATAGAATACAAGATTCTGAGGATAGTGGTGATTCTGCAAATCTTGATTCTTACCTATTCACTTGTGGATTTATATGATGATACGCTGATATTTTCTGACTTTATGTTCTATTCAGAAATTCTCGATGATTTTTCGCTCTTTTAATTCATTCACACACAACACAAAGACAGAGCTTTCGCTCTCTTATGCGTTTAACACAGATCTTTCGCTCTCTTATGCGTTTAACACAGATCTTTCTCACTCGTGTCCATTATCCTGTAAGGCTGTAACATCACATGTTGTAACTTATAAAGACTGTGAAAGAGAGATGATTAAGGTGGAAACATATCAGTATCTAGTATTACTTTTGAACTATGATGCTTTTCTTTAATTGGCCTTATAGGTGGTGGTTCGATAACTGATCAAGTGGAGTTTCTTTGATAATTTTGTTATACGGTTTAGTTACACGATTAGGTGACTAATGACTCAGCTTGTATATAAACAGTGTGCTTACTTTGGTTAATTAATGAAAAGAACACCATTCGAAAATTAGAACGTGAGGATGAAACTTCAGCATCATTACCTCAATGAAGTATAAAAGGTGAAACAAGGTTTTGTCAATGAGTTTCGGTTTAAAAAAAAATGAGATTCGAATATCAAGATTGAAAAGTCTTACCTGTCTAATGAACAATTCTTCTGCAGACTCTTGAGAAGTGTTGCTGCAGCTGAAGGTTATATAATTAACAATCTGCTCTAAAGAAACTGATTTCTTCATGTTTCTTTGCTTTGGTTCATATTATGGTTTAAACAAACAATAATGATTTTTATTAGAGTAAATAACTCAGTTTTAGACTTTTAGTTCAAGTCAT